TAGTCAGCTGTCCCCAAGAGGACGCTGCTTCCCCTCAGCTTCTGGGAGCCTATACCAATATCACCCAGCATTCTTGGTAGGAAAGTGGTGCCCCAAGTGATCTTCTCTTCCCTATGACATAATAAGGGTACAATAGAGGGAGATAATCACCAGGGCTGAGGTGTGGCAGGAGAGCCTACAGATGTTCTGGGGTCCATTGCATTGTGTGTGGTGTGGGGGGTTGACTCTGATGTTTATCTCCTACTACCTGGGATCTGGACTAAGGGCAAATTCTGCCTTTGAAGAGCATCTCTTCATACTGTCCCCGAGTGCTTCTCACTCCTGACCTACTGCACTAACAGTCAACTCCTGGAAGACCATATTCTTGGCTCAGAAGTGCAGACCAGAAAGACAAGGGCCCTGACCCAGAACTTAGGCTCTGTCAGGTCCAAAACAATGTATCCCATTCCATCTCTTGGGCTTTTGCTGTAGCTCTAGGCTTCTCAGATCAGAGAGCAGGTGCCACTCACATCCTGGTAGCCGGAAGAGGCCAGACATAGAGTAGGCACTCAGAAATGCTATTAGATTTGTATATACCTTGCCAAGCTCTGGGCTGGTGATTTTGAGGCAGAGAAGGTCCTGTGGGTGCTCCACAAAGGAGACCCTTCATGGCCTGTGTACACTGAGAACAAAGGGCATCTCACTACAGGCCAGGCCAGCAGAACTGACTGGTGGACCCCATCTCTCCAAGTCAGTGTCCCCTGTGGGCATGGTACTCCATATTCCATGACTCAGAAATCTTTGCTATAACCATCATCCTTATCCACAGCAGCCTGTCTTTTTCAAATGAGTCACAAAGCAGTTAAAAATGCCATACTGATTTTTACCAAGAATTCAGTGTTCTGATACTTGACTGATTTAATTTCATTACCCTCTGGAGAAAAGAACTTTAATACTCAGAAAGAAATCTTAGGCATTTGCATTTTTGATAAATAAATGATGAGATGTTATTAAATTACTTAAATAAATTAAATCACTAAATAAAATTAAATGCCATTAAATAAATGATGGGATGATTTTCTCAAAGTTGTATCTCCGGATAGGATTCACAAATCTGTTTTAAAATAGCTAAGGAAGACTGTTATAATCACTAACAGATTCTACGTAAGGTCATAGTGTTGCAATTCATGTGTTCCCTCTCATTGGGCAAAGGTGGAGGCTTCTCTTAACACTAGGTATATTCATTAGAGCTCAAAGCCTGTATACTGAGGCTTTGCATCCACGGATTCAACCAAATAGGGATGGAAAAATGTTTTAAAAAACAGCATATAATAACTATTTACATAGCATATTTGCATTGTATTGAAGATGATAAATAATTTAAAGGATTCAGGAAGATGTGCATAGGTTCTAGGCAAATACTATAACATTTTTACCTAAGGGACTTGAGCATTCACAAACTTTGGTAGCCATAGGGATCTTAAATCAATCTCACCCACGTACTAAGATGACTGTACTTTCTTTTACCTTCCACGAATGAACAGTTCTATGTGTGCTCTCACTTCATTGGCAAAGCCATAGAATACAACCTTAGATAAGTGCAAGATCTGTAGACTCTGGCATGTAAATATTTACAAACAAACCAACACTGTGGTCTTTTAAAATCCATAAAATCCAGTAAATCGAAAAAGAAAACTCCAAAAGTCTGAGTTTAACCCAGGCAAATCGAAACTTCTCACGCTGTTTATGATCACTGAGAACATTAGGGAGGACCCTTGAGCACGTACAGAAGTCACACCACTGGAACTAGGAAGTGTCTGGGCTCATGGTCTCCAAACTCCCAGCCATTCCTGCCGAGTCAACAGCACTCTGAACAAACTGTACTCGGGACAGTTGTAGAGCAGGCACCAGGCCAGTTAGGGGAGGTAATAAGCCAGGGTGAGGCTGGAGAAGTCAGACCTGCCTTGTACTGCTCTGTCAGAGTACTTGGGTAGGATCCTAGACCCAGGAAAGAAGCAAAGCCTGGGAAGTCTGTGGGAGTCAAGACCAAGGAAACCAGACAGGACTGCACCAGGGGGCAGTCAGCTGGTTCTGTCCCAGAACAGTGATCTCTGATCTCTGATCTGGTTGGTCTCAGTGTACCCCAGTTTAAGGATCTGAGATGCTTGTATGAAACTTAGCTACTCCCACCAACCATGAAGACAACCCAGTTAAGCCCCGTGGGCACCCTCAGCACAGCACCTGCCAAGAACTCAGCCATCTCTCAGTCATTAATCTGGGGTGAGGTCTTCGTGTAAGAACTTGTAGAGTTTGCCCTGTGGCTGCTGCACCACTGGGATTCCCTAGGACAAGGTGCAGGGGTGCTCAAAAGAAGACTTCCCCATCCTTCTAGATGGAAATGACAACCTCTTTCTTTCCACACATCACCATTACTTATTAATGCCGAATACTCCCTTCTGCCTTCATCTTGGGTCACTTGTCATTCTCTGCACCATCTTGACAAGCTCTGAGCTACAGGGTCTGCAAAGGAGCTGGCATAGAATAGAGGCTCAGGGTGACAGGGGAAGGCAGACAGGTCAGAGGGAGAGTCAGAAGTTCCACATGCTGCTGGCAGTGGTGGGGCTGAGGGATCTGCTCCCTCTATGACTGCTTCACTGCAGAATTTTTCCGTGCCTTCATTTCATCGAGTCCTAAGGGCCACCAGCCTTTGCAGGATGCTGAGTTTGCATCTGGCACAGTGCACAGCTGCAAAGCAGTCAGGCCAAAACTGCAGGTAGAACTGAGACTCATGTAAACCTGCAGAGAAGAACATTGAACCGGATACAACTCAGCTACCTTGTCCCTTCACTTTATTCCACAGCACTAAAGGTCTGCTTTGGTATTCTTCAGTCACAGGAGCTGGCTCAAGGGGCTATCTCCATCTGGGCCATGTCCATCCACATGCCATGGCCCACTAGCTCACCTCCTTGTCCTCCTGGGAGGTCAAGCCAGGAAGCTGGCATCCTGTGATGACCACCAAGTCCATATTACATGGTCTTCTTCAGAACTGGGATCCAGGCACCCACCTGACCACTCTGCCCCATAAGCAGCCACCAAGGGAAAAAGAAAATCAGAAGCAAAAGAAAAGCTACCTACTTACCTAAGTGAAGATTTTAGAATGCTTTAGCTATAGAGCCTTGGGCAAGAATAATTTTTCCTTTCTACAAATGATTAAGCATCTCCACTTGGTTTTCCCTCTTCTGGCTCCAACATAACCCTCACTAGAGAACATAATGACATGACCAACGAGCTTTCTGACTGCTCACTGTCCCCAGTTACCAAGGAGCTTTATACTTTTCTTTTTTCCTATGTTGACTTGAGTTCTTCCCAGATATTGTAGGGGACTGGGTCCCCTCCTGAGCCTGGAATCCACCTTGCCAATATTTACACAGGCAGGATTCACAGAGAATGCATCATATCTTTTTATATTACTTCAGAACGTCCTACTGAACCCAGGTCCCATGGTTACTCTTTTGACTTCACATGGAAGGATAAAGAATGTCATATTTCTCTCCTCCCCTCAGGAAAGTGACAAAGAGTAGAACCCAAATGCTTTTGCCCAGTAGCACCTCCCACCATGATCCTAGCTGCAAAGCTCTAGCAGATGACTGCAGGTGGCTTGGATCCCACTAGAGCAGAACCAACACAACATGCTGTCCCTGAGACCACAAGTCAGGAGGGAGTGTGGATGAAGAAATGACCCTTCACACAGGCTATAAACAACAACAAAGAACAATGGCTTTCTACAAATAGTGCTAAGTGAGAAACATCCTTCCTGTTCTTGCTCGTCCCAATTGGCTTGAAAAATTTGGGCAACACAGAAATCAGCACAATGTTCTCACTGGGAAGCAACTCAGATCCCAAGAAAAACACCATCAGGCAAAATTCCTGGGTTTCCTTATTCTTACAAATTTGAACAATCCATGGGGGTGGAGGACTGTTTTCTTGCCAATCACTAAGAGGGCCAGATAATATTTTCGTGGTATTATTTTAGGAAGGGAAACTTTGTAAACAACCTCAGCAGCAAATCCATAGACAGCTTGTCTGGATCCTTATTTGAAGCAGAAGGTCACCAGGGAGGTAGATGTCCCAGATGCACTTTAGGCATGTGACAATGTGCCGAAGCTGGGCCAGTGCTGGCTTCCAGACAAGGAATACTGACCTCACCTTCTAAGTTTTGACAGTGCTGTAATGCAGCCTGCCTGGGACGCATGTGTCAGAGTGGAAGCCATGCTCAGAGGCTGGCGTATAGTAGAAAAAAAGGTCTGTCTCCCAAGAGCAAGGAGCCTACACGACACAGGACAGGCATATTTGGAGAGAATGGGGACTGCTGTCCTACTCTAAGAATAGTAAATGCGAACAAGTGGGGAGTGTGTTGGGAGAAAGAATGAGTCTAGTGGAAAGGCAAATAATCTTCTGAACTACATTTGTTCGAAAAAGGAGAGTCAAGGTGGCAGGAAGCCCATCAGTATTATGGCTACCAGCCCAGGCTCTGGGTCTTGATGCCAGGTCAAACCCAGTTCTACCACAGGCCTCGATTTCCAATGTTGCAGAGCAGAGACAATGATATTTGCACTTAATTCCCTCGGTTGATATGAGGAATCAATGAGCACACCGATAAGCAAACAACAAACAAACAAACACAGAAGCCTCTTAGAGCAGTGTGTCTCCCACACAGAAATCACTCAATAAATATCAGATGTTGTTGTCATTCCCATTGCTATAATTACCACCACCACCCCCATTCTGTCGTGGAGCATGACTGGGTCCCCTCCAGAGCCTGGAATCCATCTTGCCAATCAGTAGGGAGAAGCTGCCAGTGTATTTCTCTGCCAAATTCTCTCTGATAAGTTGACTAGCCATTTGACAGTCTTCTCACATGGGGACAATGGCTGCATAATATCTACATCATAGCTCAACTTAAATGGAGAAATTACAAATTCAAAAAGTTGGCTATCTCTTTCAGGGTCAAGTGAAAATTCTGCCTTGAACAGGTCATATTCAAAGTCAAGAACACAAGATAGAAACTCAACAATTTTACTGCATTGAAGTTCAGGTGCCCAAGTAAGCCTAGTGTTTTCATACTCAGAATTGTTGGTTAATGAGGATGATATGTGGTGAAATTTCTTTCAAAGAACTAAAATTCATCTTTACAGACCAAATCAATAATTTTTAACCATTTTTATGAAACTCTTTCTAAAACAAATTAATACATCCCTAACTTAGTACACTTTAAAATAGCTAATATGGTAATTTTGGCTAATAAATTAAAAAACCTCGTAAGACAACAAGCACAGTATCAACAATAAAAGAACCCTCAATAAAAAGTTCACAAATTCCAAAGTAACAAGCCAAGACATCTGTGCAGACCCCATAGCAGCTACACAACAAGTGTACTGACCTGCTTTGTAGGCGCCTGGGTTGGCGGAGGCAGGGAACTTGCTGTGACCACAGGGGGGCTCCCAGGGCCACAGAGCTCAGGGAATGGATTTGGTATGGCCGGCAGAGATGAGGTTCTGAACTGCTGGTCTTCCTCCTGAAGGCGCCTGTAGGAAAGAGGATCATCATGGCTGGTTAAAATCTGCCATCCCCAACCTGTCCTAGCCTTGCTACTTCTGGGTCCATGCCTAAAAGAACTGAAAATACCAGATTTGCAGCAATACTATTCACAATAGTCAAAAGGTGAAAGTAACTCAACTGTCTATTAATAAATGGATGCAAGAGCAAAATTATCCTATCCATACAGTGGAATATTATTTGGCTTTTAAAAAGCACAGAAATTCTGACACATGCTAATAGCATGGATGAACTTTGAGAATATTATGCTAAGTGAAATAAGCCAGTACTAAAGACATATACTAGATGATTCCACTTATATGAGGTATACAAAGTAGTTGATGGGAGCTTCCAGGGGTTGAGGGCAAAGAAAATAGGGAATTTAGTTGAGTTCAGAGTTTCAGTTTTATGAGATGAAAACATTCTATAGATTAGAAAATTCTAAGTGTGCATTAACATGTGAACTGCAGAATTTAAAATAGCTAATATGGTAAGTTTTATATTATATATATTTTACCATGAGTAAAAACATATTTTTTGAAGTAGTTACTCTCATTATACTCCCCAGGGGATGAAGAAGTCATGGTTGTCATGACTTCATGCACATCTCCAACAATGCTCAGTGTACGATGTGTACTTGGCATTTGTTCAATGAATACCTGGTGTGTGAAAAGGTCTTGTGAATAAGAGCATTTTCATGAGAACAAAGATGTTTCAATGTCCTTGAAATGAACCTTTACCTAACCAAAGGAAAAAACTGGAAGAGGCTTTATGTATCCTCAACTGACTGTAGAATAAATGCTTATTTATACAGAACGGTAGTTGATACTGAACTAATTAGAAATCAAAGCTTCATGTATCTACCCTCCTGAAGGGTAGCTCAGAAATACCCTCTAATTCAATACTCCACACTTCTTGGCACTTCTCCAGAGTCAACTCCTCCCTCCTCTGAAAAATGCAAAGTTCACCTGTCATACACTGAAGGAAAACGCACAGGATGACGAATTGGGTGCAATTAAGAAAATAGCAGAGAAATCATGTTCAAAGTCAAAGCAAAATGAATGCAAAATGCCCTGTGCTTTTCTTCCTGAGAGTCCTATGAACAACTTCCTGCCCACAACTCCAGAGCTTTCCTGGGAACTCATGGCCTCCTCCATCCATGCCTGAAGCATGTTGCCTAGGGCACAGACACCTGCCTTCCAGGAGAGGACAGCAAACCTGAGCTATAGAGTCTAGTCCTAACCCTTTGCCTTGTTTAAATACACTTCAGAAGCCCCTTGCGAGGGCTGTGTCTTCAAATAATTTTTTTAACTATTTTTACAATTGGAGAAGAACAATGATCCGTTAGCATTCCTGGGGGTGGCCATTAGAGAATTCCCTCTGTAACTATTTTACTTGTTCTCTCTTGACCAACTACTCTGATTTTAAAGGAAAGCCTGTCTATCCACATGCACCAGGAAATGATGTACTGATTTAAAATACCAGAACTCATATGGCATGAAGGGAACTTGTCCTGTGAAGACAAGCCATTCCTATAACGGATTAACAAGTCAGAAAGTTTATTTTTACTGTTAACAAATCCTATTCTTCCTATAACATCTTTGGCCTTGGCAGAGCATCCTACTGTCGAGTCTGACCACTATCATACAGACGAGGAGAAAAGGTGACGGAGTCAGGATCACTTTCAACCAAACGCCTCTACCAATGACTTAACCCCAATGACGGTTTTATCTTTGACTCACAGAACAAGATACAAATTTGTGTACAAAAGCTTCCCTCTTTCAGCGTCTCAAAATATTTTTAATTTAATTTTTAGTATTGGTTTTAATATTGTTTTTGTTTGTTTGTGTGTTTTACTTTCTAGTAGTTCAGATATTTCCTAAAGCAAAAACTAAGGGGTATTACACAAAGATGAAAAGAAAAAAAAAAATTCCCCACTAAAGAGCCCCACAATAAAAGGATGCATCCTTTATAGGTCATTTCCCCAAAGAAAAGTTACCATGGTGGGGCTGGGGTTGTGGCTCAGAGGTAGAGCACCCGCCTAGCATGTGTGGGACACTGGGTTTGATCCTCAGCACCACATAAAAATAAAATTAAGATATTGTGTCCACCTATAACTAAAAAACTAAATATTTTTTAAAAAATTACTATGGAGATGAGCTAAGATTCAAAGATGTCAGAAAGGGTGAAAAAAGTGCCATAACCTGGAGGCAGGAGCAGGTGAGGGCAGGGCAGGGGTGGAGGTGGGCCCTGTTCTGTGTTCTCTGTGCCTTTGCCTAGCTCATCCTTTTGTCCAGCTGAGAGCACACTCACAGTCCCTCTGCTCTCTCACCCAAACCCTCCCCCTCCTTCACAAATCAGCTCAACTCTCAGCAGGTCTATGAAGCCTGTGTACCTGCTCTAGGCCTGTCCTCTGTCCCTGGCTCCACCCAGCCCATCTGAGTGTGGAGTGGCCACCTAGCTCCACACAGTGTGGACTGTGTTCTATGGACCCAGAACAAGGCTCAAGGCCTATCTCATCCAAGCTGCATAGCCCCTCAGCCTAGGTCCAACTGCTGGTTTCCCCACCTTTTAGGTATGGACCTATTTACCCCTGAGGCTGTAGGGGATGGATCTAGATGCCTGGATCCCAACTAGGTCACTCCCTCTGGACTGAACAGGAGACAGATACAGGGAGACACTCTAGAGAACAAAGTGCGACAAACAGTGGAGGAGGAGATGACTCACCATCCCCAACTGTGACCAACAGTGGGAAGTCTGAGCAATGGCCCAACAGAACACCAAAGCACCCTCTCTGCCTCCTCAGGAAAGAGAAGTCCCTTTGGGTGAGATGCTTTGACCCATGGTGTCAAATTGGAAATAAACTTCTTAGAAGCTTCTGGAAGCAAGAAAGATCCCCAGCAAAAGGAATAAAGCCATCTAGGTTATCAGTCTGACTGTCACAGCATAACATGCCTGTATTCAAGGAATACTTACTTATTCTACTTAATAATGGCTCCAGGAGCAAAAGTAGTGTTTTTGTTTTGGATGTGAAGTGTCCCCTAAAAGCTCACATGTGAGACAATGCAAGACTGTTCAGAGGGAAAATGACTGGGTTGGAAGAGTCTTAACCTGATCTGTGAATTAATCCCCTGATAGGGATTAACTGAGTGGTAACTGAAGGGGTAGGGTGTGGCTAGAGGAGGTGGGAATTAGGGCGTGGCTTTGATGTATATATTTGTATCTGGAGAGTGCAGTCTCTCTCTTTGCTTCCTGGTCACCATGATGTGACCTGCTTCCCTCTAACACCCTCTCCAGCCATGATGTTTAGCCTTACTTTGAATGGAGCCGGCCTTCTCTGGACTAAGATCTCTGAAACCACGAGCCCTCAAGTGAACTTTTCCTCCTTACAGTTGTTGTGATCAGATCCTTTTCATCACAGCAGCAAAAAAGGTTGACTAAACCAGGTAGTGATGCTGGCAAATCTACTACAGCATATTATCATAATCCTTCTATTTTATTATTAGTTGCTAACCTCTCACTTCGCCTAATTTACAAACTAAACTATCACAGGTCTGTTATGTATAGGACAGAACACTGTATGTAAGATTCAGTCCTATCTTTGATTTTAGGCATCCACTGGGAGTCTTGGAATGTACCCCAAGGATAAGAAGAAATGACCACATCCATATTAAAATAAAGGGAACTCATCTGTCTCTTGACTTTGCACAGTCACCTCCCATTACCACATCAAGGGCACAGGGCAGCATCTTGTCTGCTGGGCCTACCTGACAGCGAGGATGTGCACCGGCTGGGAGCGCTGCACTTTCTGCCTCGGGGACGCCTGTGGCTGGGCAGGCTTTGAGGCCGAGGCTGGTGGCTGGCTGCGGGCATGCTGCCCATTCTGCAGGAGAGGCACCGTATCGGACTGCATGTTGCAAGCTGAGTAAAGGCTCTCCAGAGATGCGTTCATATCACTCACCAGCACTTCCAGGTCCACATCATCCTCTGTACATGAAAAGGCAAGAACAGAATGAAATGTTAGTGGCAGCAAGGTTTCATACCCAAATGTGCATTTTTTGGTGACTGGTCACCAAAGTCAACAATATTTTTAAAATATTACATAAGGATTCATAAATATCTTCAAGTAACCAAACATATTGCATTAATAATTACTGATACATAGAGCCATAATTCAATCGCACCTCCACATGTCTTTACAGGGAGTACCAGGTGGAGCCCCTGAATAGCTCAATACCCTCCTTCTACACCTCTTTCCTTCCTCCCCACTGTCACTGGAGTGGGCTGTGCATAGCCAAGGTTATATAACAAGACCCCACTGTCCTAGTCTTTGCTGGCAGGATCCCAAGTGGACAGTGAGCCCTAAGGCCAGACTCTTCTTCCTTCCTTGAAATTCCAGAAGTACAACAAAGACAAGAACAGAGTGGCACCAAACCTTGACACCAGTCCCAGTCCAACAAAACTAAAAGGTGGAGAGACAGTGGCATAGAAGTCACTGTGCAGCTACTGCTAAAACACATGCCTACAGACTTCTAGGCACCACCCTCCACCCCTTGAGTGGCCTGAAGTCTGAGGAAGCCCATTCTGACAGTGGAGGGCATGAATCACACATAGACAGAAGGCACGATGGTATGGAGGGCAAGCCAAAGAGAATGACAGGAAACACAGAGAAAGGTATGAGTGAGTACACAAGGGCTGTGATGGTTAACTGTGTGTGTCAACTGGCTGAGCCATGGTATTCCAGCTTAACATCCAAATAGAAGTTTTCCTTTTAACAACCAAATAGAAGTTGTGCTGAAGGTGTTACTTACATTAATATTTAAATCAGTGGACATGGAGCAGGCAGACTGCCTTTGCCTTATCCAATCAGGCAAAGGCCAAAAAGAAGAGGACTGACTTCCTGGGGGGAAGGTGCAATTCTATCTCTAGACTTGAAACACAGTTCTTTCCTGAGTCCCCAGCCTACTGCCTACCCTGTGCATTTTGGACTTGCCAGCCTCCACAATCATTTGACTTCAGTGTGCATCTCTCTACATACATCTTATGGGTTCTTACTGATTCTGTCTCTAGAAAACCCTGACTGCACAGAGACATAGGGATGTAACAGTACACAGAGATGGAGGAGAGTGGGGATGGGAAAAGAGACAAGGAACCAGGACTGGGTCACATAGCCAGCCCAGGGAAGACACATAAAACATTCTCCCACCTCTATAATAATTGTATTTTCATGTGTTTAAGCTATTTTGAGCTTGTTTTTTATCTGTCACCAATGTTTCCTAATAAAACTGACCCCTTTTTTTATTTTTGCATTTTCAGGTTTGCCCCTTTTTAATAAAAACCAAACAAATAATCACCTAGGCTCACTGTAATGCAGAACTTTGCAACTAACATAATTCACCATCTTATTTGCTCCCAAAATAATCTCAAGTGACATTCACCCCACACATAAGAATCACAGAAATCAAGACCCTCATGCTACTAAAGGCTACATACAGGCTTCTAATAGGGAGGAAGGAACACAGAGACATTTGCAAACTTGGACACTGCAAACTTGCTTATTCTGGCCCTGCTCCTACTGCCTTGAGGCCCAGGGCGAGAGACTCAGCTTTCTATTCTTGGCGTCTTCAAATCTAACATGGGGTGAGCAATAGTAGTCACACCTTTGGGGGAGGGGGAGGATTACGCTTTACATAGTGCCTGGCATGGAGTAAACAGTAAGATGCTATTTATTAGCTCTATTTCATCTATTCCTTACAAAATAATATAAAGCGGTCACGACTAACTAGTTTAACAGCTCAACATATAGGTCTGGAGGACTTAGGTCACACAAGCAGTGTCTATAGAACCTAGAATTTGAAAACAAATTTAGCTACTCATTTGACCTCACCAGGTGTGTGCACAACAGATGAGCACACAGCTCTTCCTGGAACACTTGGCCCTTCCTGCCTCTCCGGTTCCCTACACAAAAGCCTCGAATGACAGCTGGGGAGTGGAGCTTAGTGGTAAAGCACTTGCCTAGCACGCTCAAGGCATGGGGCTTGATCCTAGTACTAAAAAAAAAAAGTCTCAGAGGGTCTTTGCTTTGGCTTCCCTTATGTCAAGACTAAAGGGCATAACAGAACAAAATCACTTCAAAACCCAGCCTAAAGAAGGCCTGGCAGCCAAAATGGTACAGAGAATGGGAGAGAATAGAACAGGGTTGCCTAATGGTTAGCATCTGGGCATCTGTGGTCAGCAGGACAAGGGGTAAAGCAATGTACAGTTACAGGAAACCTTGGGCAGAAGAAGAAGGGCCATGGAATCCTCCATGTGCTCCTTACCCTCCAAGCAATGGTACCCAAAGAGGGTCTCTGATGAGGCAGGTCATGCTCAAGGTCATGGGGAAGACAGACAGACATCAGGGGACTAAAATAGCAGCAATAAGACCATGATGTCTGATGTGCCCAGTCCCAGCTGGAATGAAGAATGGAAGCCATGTGGGAGAGATGCTGGGGTTGTTGAGTAAATAGGAACTGGGAAAGAATGGGGATCATTCTGAGAAAGGTGCAGACATCAAGTTGGACCTCAAAACTTGGACTGCCCTGAAGGTCCAGGGTCTGTGTGGGGAGAAAGAAGAAGAGAGGACGAGAATGCTGCTATAGTTCAGGTTATAAGCAGTCAAATATTAATCCTGTGGCCAGATATTAAAAGGACAAAAGTGCTGAATCAATAACTAATGGTCACCATATAATTAATAATTAATATATCACAAGGGAGAACTCTCGGGGTCAGCAGGCAGAACTCCTATTTATAGTTGGGGGTAGGGGAAGACAGTGGGAAAAAGTTGGTTGACAGAAAACCAGAACCTGTGGGAGCTAGTGTATACATGCCTGTAGTTTCTGCTGTCTGCTGACGCTGTGTGGCCTAGGAGAAATCCTCCTCTGTACAGCATCAGGGCAACACTTGGCAAAGGCACAAATGTCGGGAAGTAGCTGTCCAGAGACAGCCAACTGCTAATGAAAAGACTTCAGTTCTATATTTATTAGGACCTCAGAGAACTCATTGTGAAGAAAAGTGTAAGTTACACTAGAGCTCACAAACATGGGGCTTTGGGAAAGTTCTAGAATACATGCATCATGAATGCCACTCACCTACACTCACCGCATTTAGCTGATGTGGTAATAGTGGGTTAATCTAAGGTCTGTAAAACAATTAAGGTCACACGCTGCTCTTAACTCACCGTATTAACTGCTCAATATTTCCACCTTAATGGACCATTTAAGAATCAATACTGGGTGGAACACAAAGTTCACTGTAATTATGGAGTCAGTCTTGGGGAATGCACCAGGGGGGCCTCATCACCTGCACACGCAGACTGAGGGAGCTCTCTGCCAATCCAGTGGCACTTCATGGAGGGATGTTTTTTAAGTATTTAAAGACGGGAGGAACCCTGGCAGAATACAAAGGCCCCTGTTTTCACCGCTCACATCCTGCTTTAGAAATCAAACGGTAATACAGTTCTTACTCTCAGACAGGTCTCGTCTGAGAAAATAAAACGTCTCGATTCCTGCTGGCATATTTTCAGCTGCAGTTATTTTTCCCCCCTGGGTATTTCTGACAGCCCTTGGCAGTGCCCACCCCCAGTGACAGTCCCTAGTGTCTCTGGTCTTTTTGCTCCTGTTACTTCTCAGTCAACCAAATAATTCCTGGGTTACACCTCTGTAGTCAAGTCAAATGCAAAACAATTTTGACATTATTTACAGTAAATATATGGTAAACAGATGTCAAAACAGAAAGGTAACACATGTCCTCAGAATATTTTTACTCTCTTCCGAAGTAGGTTATTTACAACTAATTTCTACTTCAGTACATTTGGGTTTCTTTAAACACACAGCCAGGTTAATCTGGTAACATTCACTTAGTTATGATTTTCAAAAATTGAAAAAAAAAAAAAAAATATATATATATATATATATATATATATATATATATATATATATATTTCAAACCTGTAAACATTCTACAGCTTTTAGAGCAAAAACAAAGCTTTTTAAAGAATCTGAAATGCCCTCCTGTAAAATAAACTTTAAAATGTCCTGCAGGGTCAGTTAGCATTTTATCTGTTTTGATAATAAAATGACTATAGTTATCTGACTTTAGGCAAACTTCCTTAAATTCTAAAGTGAAACAAAATGAAATCTTTCTAACACTACTTCATATTTTACAGCAAGTTTTTAAAACTCTTAGTGTAGACTAGGATGTTACTGAAATCACATTTAGTTCTTATAAACATTCCATATGGCTTGTGTTCCATCAGCTCATCCATCTCAGTGAGAATCCTGTATGTCTCTTCCATACATGTAGCCAACTTCTACATTCTTTTCTAGTCCTATGAATCCAAGTAGATCAATAATCACCCATTTGTGAAAGGCTTTCTGCCAGGTAACAGAAGTGGGAACATCAGAAAAACTGATGCTTCTGGAAATGAATGTTCAGATTAAGTATCTATTCAATGCTAACGTGGTACAAAAATATTTTCCATGAGCTTATCTTTCTGGAAGGAATACTAGAAGTGAAAGGGAAAATGAATTTATATATAAAATGCTACTTCATATGAATTTGTGAGAATGTATTTACTGCACAAATATAGCCAAAAAACATGGCTGTTAGGTTATTAATAGTTACTTTCCTTCCTTAAATAACCCAGTCCAAAACTGGGCATGTACTTTGTCCCAAATATTTGAGTAGCTCATCTTAACTCAAATTCACATCTCTTCTCTGTCACTGTCATTAGCAAACTGAGGCTAGTTTAAGTTCTAAAATAAATTCAGGGAAACAAATTTGCATTTGGCTTTATAAACCATTATGAGTGAATGTTTTCCACAAACCAAGAGAGACATGCTGACCAGGAAATGGCAAAGAGGAGAAAGATGGTGTTAGCAGAGGAGGATTTAACTTCCTACACCACCTTACCTCCTTAATGAATAATGCACTTCTTAGTTTACAGC